GAATAGTAATGACACTACAAATTCGATTACATAATCTTCATAATGCCAAGATCCACATAATGTGGGCAGTAAAGGTCAGAAGGAGCGATAAGAGGTAGAAGATGACAAGGTTGACCTGAGTATACAGGTGGTCCTAGGAAGGGGTGGTGAGTTGGCCTTGGCTTGTCTAACTGTTCCTTCACAGAAAAGGTCAGTAACTGCCCATCAGTCACCCATTCCAGCATAGCACCAAAATCAAATGTGATACCAGTCCACGAAAATGTCACTCTCAGGGGCAATCCTTCCAAGCATGGCTTTAGTTGGCTGGGATGGCTTCTCCCATCCAGAATGGTTTCCTGAGAAGAGGTGGCTTAAGATATCTTATGACAAAGAAATCATTGTTATATTAGTTCTATATGAGTTTTCTTTAAAAGAAACAGTAAAAATAGATATTGGGAAGTTCCTAAAGAACAGGAAGGTAATCATAGCCAAATCATTCCCAGGAGATATGTTTGAAGATTGCCTGGAAGAGAGAAAAATGTTTTTAGATTTGCTACTTCATTAGAAACTAGATATTAACTTTCAGTCATGACTTAAGATCATGCCAGTATAGTTAAGCAATTAACAGATCTCAGCTGTATTCTAACTGTTGGGGAAAATTGTTGGGGATTTTCTTTTCCTTTTTTTTTTTAAACTCAAATCTGTCCTTCGACCAGAATTTTTCTTTGCTGTTAAGTTCTTCCTGACTCAGTTGTCCTAAAAAGTAGAATTCCTGAGAAGTTGTTCTTTGCTTTGGCATTGACTTGTGCTGACTCACCTTGGCAAAGATGGCCTGGCAGGACTGGCAGAAGGATGTGGAAATTACTTGGCAGCTTAAAGAAAGTCCTCTGTAAGTCACATTTGGCTATCAATTGTATGTCTGACACTGGTGATACAGGTCTAGACAAACTTATTATTTGCTGACATTCCAAATCTGAGGTCATAACATCTATGCTCCTTATATTGGACATACTGCTCCATAAGACTAGTCTAAAACTGATTTTTAAACAAACCTCTGTGTTTATGCCCACAAAATCTTGCTTTGGGACTGTGAGAATGACCATACAATGGAAAATACACATTTCACAATGTTATTTGTATTTTTATAAAGTGAGAGAGACTAATCTCTTTATTGCTTTTAAAACTGTGGACCATTGTACAGAATTCCAAGGCAAACTCAGTGTGCCACACTGAAAGTGTTGAATTTGTGTTCACTGGAATCATCACAGAAATGAGCTAAGTCTCTCCTGTTGGAAAAATCTGTTTGGGAAAGTTGTACATAATACCCTTTACGTGATTTATATTACAAGAGAATAAATCTAGACTAACTCCCTTAACATCACTGAAGATCCACTCAAAATCTAGACTATAAGTGACCAACATATCTATGTTGCAGTATTGGCCAGGAAAAAACTTAAAGTATGATCACATTGCATGTTTCCACAGGCCCTGAACAATCTTCATCTCTTACAGTAGAGTCCAAGACATTACAGCATCTGGTTTTATATTACAGTGGAATTTCACGATGGGTTAACTTCCTAACCCAATGCACAGCTATCTTTGATTCTTTTCCACTTCGGTACAAAGTAAACTAAGCTAAATTGCTAACTTCACACCTGCTAGAAATCGCCAAATTTCCTTTCCAGCTCAGTCATACTACATACACCCTCGAGGCTGAGTTTCACCCTCACAGGAGTCGAAATTAGAGGACTAATTAGTTAAGAATTTTTAGTTAAGATTCACTCAATTTGATTTCAAACAAATTAGCTAAAAGTTAAACCAGTGTACTTGTATGGTTTTCTGGCTTTATATGTTACATTTTTCTTAATAGCATGTACATCATTTGATTTGTACTTGTTCAGAAGTACTTAATAGAGAGATATTTCTTTCTCCAGATAGTCTTTGCAAACATCAAGTTAATCAAAACTGAAAACATCTTCTGTTCATATAATTTTCCCTTTTAAGGCATTGAAACAACCAATCTACCTCTGCATTCTACCAAAATCAGTTACATCTTCAATCCTACTGACTTAAACAGGGCTAAAGCAGATAAATCTGTATGTTGTGTTTTAGCTTGCAAAAATGTATACACTGATTTCGTAATGTTGGCTACTAGGTGTAAGAACAAACAGTATTAAAACCTCCTAGAATTTTCCAAGGACTTTATGAGTACTCTTTATATTATTTTTTCATAGTGAAGGGGGAAAGTAGGGAGGAGGTTTTTTGTGGTAGTTTGAACTGCAATTGATGTTTCGAGTCAGCTGAAATAAGGACTATTACAACTGTTTGTCTATATAAAGAAATGCATCAACACACATCATACTGACTTGAGGTAGTAAAGTAGGGGTTTATGACATCTAACCATTTGTCCAGTGGCTCTGTACTCCTTTTGTTCATTCTGTCAAACTGTGCTTTTGGTGGGGTTTGGAGACCTTAAATATACTAGAAGCATTTCTGCACAGAGAAAAACATTCTGGCAATGGCAGTTGCCATCATTTAGCAAGCTCTAGTAGGCTGCAGCCTAGGTACTAACACAAATCTCTGAAAAGCACACTTGTAAATTCACATCTATGATGCAAAAGCATTTTGGGGAAAAAAAAAAAGAAAAGAAAAAATAAGGTTTTACAGAGATGGATATTGTTGCTGAAAGCTACAAAAAAGGAAGAGGAAAACTGAGGAGAATTTCTGAACATCAGCAAATGATTTTTATCTAGCTCCAGAACAGGGAGTCTGTGTGAAGAACACAAACACATGCATTTCTGTTTAGCATTTCATCTGGCTATGTTTATTCATTTCATATGTAATGGTGTGCTCAGATGGAAACACCTTGCATTAAACTTAAGCCCCCGAAGAACTGAGAGTAAGGTTATGGGAAAAAGTACTTTTAAGGTGGCAGGAAAATGGAACAGACAGCCTTAATTATGAAGTCTAGAGCAGCTGGACTGTGACGTCTTGTTTCTGGGAAGAAATCATAAATGGACGACCTGAGGCCAGGAAATGCATTGGACTGGCACAGAACAGGGAGGGAGGGACGTCTCCGAGTACCTGGCTCAGCAGACTTGGAAGCAACACAGCAATCTAGTGGATGGTGTGCAGAGGGAGTGTAAACGGGCTCACAAAGCTTCTCTTTCATTTTCCTTCTGGCTTGGCCAAGTTTTATCCCTAGTTCTATGTTACCAAAAAAAGATTGGCCTAGTTATTCATCTTTAAAACTCAGATGAGTATTTGTTAGATGACTTTGGAAGCTTCAGAGCTTATTAATTCTGAATACTTGGTGGCTTTTCAACATTAATACATTTCGTGTCATTAAGAAAAGGAGAGCTAAATTAGGCTTTTTAGTAAATATGCTAAGTCCACAACATTTCTGTGAACATAATATAAATGCAAATGTTTTTTGTGCTATTTGGCTTATGGTACTGAACAATAAAGAATACATATTTTTTAGCAACCAGAATTATACCCTTCCCTCAGGTTCACTTCACCCATTCAGAGAAAAAAACATTTACACTTACTTAGTGTTAAAAAAGCTTTTCTGACTGATATGGTAAGCAAATATTTCCTTTGTTGACTGGATGATTGACAATATATAAATTACCTATTAATTATATATATTACAAGACATATAATATATAGTGGATGAATACATATTTAATATTTCTAAAATAGAAACTTAAAAAATTTAACAATTGGAAACTTGCAAATTTAACAAAAGGTAAGCAATTTTCAATCATAATAAGCTTCATATTTGCGTTTTGTATGTCATGGTGCACAAATGATTCTCTTTGTGGTTTTGATGCTCTGCTAGCTGATATCAGAGTATTATTTTGACACTTCACTGGAGTTAGTGCTATGTCAATGATTCCAGTGTAAAACTGTATTTTCACTGTTTTCTAGCTCTGACACAAAAATTGGCTATGGGATGAAACTTGGTATCCTAGGTCTATCTACAGTAGGAACAAATTTATTTTCACTACATTTCCTATAAATTTTATATTTTTAAGTTATAGAAAAGATATAACAAGATGTGTTGCGGTTTTTACTTTTTGAATTTTTACTTTATAGGGGAAAAAAATCAGTGTTTTCAAAAAAGTTTTTTATCAGAAAATAATTATTTCTCCTGGAACCCTAATGGTTGCTGCTAAGAATTGACTTGTTTTTTAAAAATATTTTGTTATTAATAGTTCTGACTTTCTGGATAGTCCTTTTTTCATACAAATGTCTTTCTGCTTGTCTACCTCTCCTCAAAGCACATGAATAAAGAACAGTGAATTCTTCAGTGTAAGTAGACAAAGTACATGATAGAAAATGTTTCCTTTTCCTAATTTTGTATTGTGCTTTCCTGTCTGTGAAATAGTTCCTTCTATTGAAAATAGCCTAAAGTCTTTCCCAATCACTATTTCCTGAATGTCATTCCTTCTTCATCATCTTTGCTTGTTCATGAAAGATAAAAACCCCTAAACTATAAACAAAGAATTCTGTCTTTTTGGTATGAAGCATTGAAGGGACATACATAATTTATGCTTTTCTTGCCAGCAGTCACAGAAGAATCAGAATTTCTTGCATTAGTATAGCTAGAAAAGGCACAGAGAAAATTAAATTTTAAACTGAACATTGAAACTTAATTGTCAGTGACCTTACTATAAGGACCCCTTGTAATCTTCCTGGAATGTCTACAGCTTTCTGTTATTAGAGCTGTAAATATATAATTTCACTGAAGAACTGGGGTAAAATATAGATTTTTTTTTTTTATAAAAAATCTCTGTCATTCTAAGGGACATTTGGCCGCAGAATATTTATTTTAAATATTGACGTCAGACTCACAAACTGGTTCATGCTACATGGGTGTAAACACACCTACTCAACTGAAAGAATGATCTTTGTCTCTAGAAAAAAATACTTCTTTATGTGTCAATTACCTTTTTGCTGTTCAATTAACACAATTTTACTCTTTACTGCAGGCTGTGCAAGCATGTCCTTAATAGTCTTCCATCCAGACACGGCAATTTTGTCTTTGCTCTGTTTCATGACCATATTGCAAGCTCCCACTTCAAGATTGCCACAAAAGATAAATTACGGGTGAGAAATAGAGTTTGTAGCATTAAAGCTCTTAAGTACTTCGAAAAGGAGTTCCTCCACCACAGGTTTATTGAACTGTTCCTTTGACAGCGTGACTTTTAGCAGCTGGTGTGGATTACTGCTGGCAAGCCCAAAATCAGGGATGACTGACTGTGGTACCAACACATGACAGAAGAAAAATGGCTGTAGACATGTCTGCAGATTGGCAGAGAGTAGTAATGGGGCATCAAAAGGAAGCAGAAGGAGAGAAAGCTCTGGAGCTGCCAGGAGTGGTTCATTCAGGGAGCCCGAAGCTTTTAGCTTTGTTCCTGCCACGTGAGCAAGCCAAATGCACTCACAAGAACAGTAGCATCTAGGCCTTGGTTTTGGAAACCCATAAGCACCACTAATACTGTTTTGTGGGGGTCTTTTGAAGCTTTGCTCTGATGACGAAATCTTTTGAAGGTGCAATAATTTTGATGTTATTGATTCATTCAGTACACTTATAGGTTTTCTTTTCAGTCATGCTATTTTGAATTGACTGTAGTAGGATTCAGTTCACAAAATCATTCAGCTATAACAAATTGTTTGCTTTTACTCTTTTTTTTTTTTTCCAGAAAGGTAGTTATATATTGAAGGCACAAAAAGGTCTTACATGGTTATACAAGCAAAATGGGTTATTCCGTCAGTTCACTCTGAGGCTGAGTTAGCTTTTCTGTGCAATTCTCCGCTTTGAAATTGATTTTGTTGACCATGCATTTTTTTTCCCAAGGTCTTAAACGTAGGCTGTATGAAAAGTTGCCTAATCCACTGGTTTTAACAAAAAACCACAACTTTTCATCATTATTTAATATTGGCTGTCCTAAATAAAAATTAGAATTATTAATTTTATTGAATTCATAGTTTACTGATTTTCTCAAAGACAGTGATGCATTGTATTTCAAGCAGGTTTTTATTTTTTGCAACTGATATCCCTACCTCTGACTGATATGCATTTGTTCAAATCAAGGATATGCCACAATTATTCCTTATATTTCACAAGGCTGTCAGGCATTCTCTTCACAGCTAATGTTGTTATTTCTATACAAGATTATAGCTGTGCATCATAAAAATTTAATTCTTGTAGATCATTAGATTCTTCTCTATTAAAAATCCTAATTATCTGAAATATTATAAAGAGAAAATTTCTCCACTGTTTCAATTTCCATTTTTTCTTGGAACAAAACTCAATTTGCTTTCTAATTCAAATAATGAGGTAAAATCACACCCTCCTTATTCAGCTCAAAATTATAGCAGCATCAAGGTTTTAACAACCAATTTAGAACACATTAAAATTAATATGGTGGAACTCACTTTGATGAGTAACCACTGCAATATCTAATGAACCAAGATGTCAATTCAGACTTGAGATCTGAATAGTTGTTTTTACTTACCTTTACCAAAAAAAAACAAAAAAAAAACAAAAAAAAAACCAAAAAAAAAAGCAAACCAAATCACCAAAAAAAAACAAAAAAAAAAACAAAAAACAAAACACAAAAAAACCCTCAATATGTTTCTCTCCATTTCAGATTGCATAATTTGTCTGCACAATTTGTCTGCACAAGAAGTCATTGATATCAAGAGGTTAATACAACTCAAAAGAAATTTGACACCTTTATAGAACAAGAACATCTAAATAAGATAAAAAATGTATGGGACACTCTTCTGATTAAGAGCATATTCCTTATGTCTTGCTACATACTGGAAATAAAAGAAACGAGCTTTATCCTGTGGAAAATTATCTTTCAAATATGTACTTGGTAGTTTCTTATGTTTTCCCTATAGGCCTATAGCAAAAGCCACTGAAATAATCAGGTAATATACCAAAATGAATTACTGGTCTAGCACTCTGCAGAAGCTTCTTTCCAAGCAACTGCTGAAGTTACAGGTTTAATACTAGATACTATCAAATGATACAAAAATTGTAAAGACTATTTTGAGATTGCTGGGTGCCATCATTCTATTTCATGGGAATTTCTGAATCAAATATTCCTTTGGTAGTGTCACTGAGGACCCACTGTAACGTTTTACCACGGAAGTGGCTATATTAAAATGCATTGGCAGTGCGAAAAAAACCCTTTCGACTTAAGAAAAAAACTTTAATAAAAACATTTGTATGTGAATTACTCCGATGTTTTGCAATTGCTTCAAATCTGTAATACACTGAAAGAGCACTTCTTCTCAAGTTTATAGGGAAATTTGCCCTTCTTTCCTCCTTTTAGTTTGTATATCTTTATAACTTTTACATATAGCAGAAATAGAAACTAACCAACCTCTAAAGTGCAATTCTACCATAGTTCAGCTTCCCTTAACTACAAATTCCAGATTTAGTTAAAATGCTGACAAAACATCTATGTTTTTTTCCACCACATGGATGTCACCAGTACAGGGAACTCTGAAAGTTACATCTGGATCCATCTTACTAGTTAATGGATTTTTTCCTTGAGGAATAATCTGAGCATGATAGAAGAACAAAGATTTCCTCTATCCTGTAGAATATCTATGAGAAGTAATGTTAGGGAAGAAAAGTAATTGGCAAGGTGAACACATTCAATATGGGATTTAATAAAATATGGATCTCACCTGCTATTTTGCTGTCTCCGTTTAGAATAAATAGCATAGCATTTGCAAGTGCTGAATCTTCTTACTTTTGGTATATGGTATAAACTAATATATTGGTAATACTGCATTCTCCTTTGTTAGTCTATTATGTTTAAAAAGGTTTCCTGAGAGCTTTGAGACTACAGTTCTCCAGAATGTCTGTCAGTGAGGCATCCATGCAACATATCTGCCCTTATACATTATGCCAATATCAGTAGAGAATTTGCCTGTAGTTTTGATAGGCAAACTCTAGGAATATAAAAATAACAAGACCAAATGTATCCTTTTTTTAAACTGTTTTAGAAGTGGGTCATATTCGAAATGGTAAGTCATTCTATAATATACATGGAGGCCTTGTAGAAGGTCACTCATTTATCCTTGTGTTCTAAATGCAAGTGTATCTATGAGCTCTCAGTCAGTGTATATTCTCCTGGACACAGATTTCTGTTTGTCACAGTAGAAGACTAACTGGCATTAGAGCTTCAATGACATGCTTAGATGATCACTTGCTGATGATTCTGCATGTGAGTGACAGCAAAAGAGGCCTCTCTCAAAATTTAATGTACATATTGTTTTAGGGTTTGATACTGTTGGGTTTACTCATCTTTCATTTGTCTTTGATTCTCCTTCTTTCCCACTTTTAGAGCTGTGCTATATTTTCAGCAGTAAGGAAACGTTCATAATTCCTTGCACTGTTCTTGATTTTCCTCTTATATTAGAGACTGCAAAACAGATTATTAGTGTACGCATCCCATCCCTTGGCAGAGGCATTGTGCCTAAGCACCATTAGTGTTACAGAGAGTCATCTGACCTCTCACAAAAGAATAATAGAGGTCTTAGTATTCCTAGGGTTCAAGTAATGGTGAATGGCAATCAATAGCCAAGCATTTAGAAGGACTTCCTCCTTGGTTGTTTTATTTCATAGTGGTGATTCTAATGACTGATTAGTATCCCAGTTCTAAAAACTGTGATGAATACAAGTGGAAATTTCCATAATACTTTGGCTGAACATGTAACTATTTAATACAAAAGTTTCTAAGTTATATTGTTTTTGGAGAACAGAAGGCTCTTTATTTCCATATTCTATTCCTTTCTTGAAAAATTGAACAAATAATCTGATCACATACTAACTCTTCTCAAACACAAAAAAACCCCAAAAAAGTCTTACTGCTCTATTCCACATCATTAAAAATAATGCATCTTTCAAAGCATCTTGTAAATGTAATTTTGTGTTTTCAATATATTGTTTGTAGAAGGATTCCAGAGAAATGTGGGGCTTCAAAAGGCTCTCTGGTCTCAAATAAGGCTACTGGAAGCAATTATTCGTCCATTACAAGTAACAGGCAGCAAAAAACCACAAACAATGGACTCTTTAAATTTAAAATAACACATTATTTTAACAAAGATTTTGCTTGTTCAGGCTGTAAAAGGAAAACTCTTTAACATTTTTATTAAACTCTGATATTAAAATGACCTATATAAATAAAATAACAATAATCAAGCAATTAAAAAAAACAGACACTACAAAGATAAAAATGACAATTTTATTTTAAGTACACACCTAATATACGGGCCTTCATGAAATAAAATCAGATACTCCTACAACGAAAAACAGGAACATGAGGAATTAAGGTTTTTAACCCATTTCTTTCTGCTTTGTAACTTCCCAAAATAATGTAGAACACAAGGGCATGGTATTTCCACATAACACAGCAAATGTGTTTGTAAATAGTGTGATGCCACTATGTGAGAAGGGTTTTTCTGCTTTGGTTAGGACTTTTGGGAAGAATTTCTAAGACTTCACTACTGCACATTTTGCTACTGGCAATGCAGAAAAGTTAAAGAGAATTAAGATCCATCCTTCCCCACCTTTTGCATGTTTAAGGTGACATTTTACGCAGAAGAGGAAACTTTAATACAATAAATATCTGTGCTTACTTCCTAGAGGATCATAAAAAGTTTCATTATTGAAATTTAACACCAGTAAATCTTGAAATGGTTTAATTAAAATTGGTGTTTACTGACCTTTTGACAGACAGAATCATCACTTTAAAGAGATGTTAACAACAGGAATTATGGGGGGTTGCAGAGTTCTCAGCAACTGTGTTATCTTGTCTCGATCATCACTGAATTTATAAACCTATCTCTGTTGTCACCACTACAGCTCAGAAGTAAGAAAGGCAACCCTTGGTGCTTTATAGAGCAAACCGAACATGATGGTTCAAAGTAAAACTCACAAGGTATCAGGGAAGCTTGCACTTTATACATGAAACCAATCTACTGTAGATTTAATATACCATATGTACACAGCTTCTGCATTTCTTCTCAAAGATAAACTGCTGAGAAGGAATAATCATCTAACAAATACCAACTTCAGCCAAAACTGAATATGTATTTTTAAAATTCTTTTTTTTTGCATGGAGTTATTTCACTGTGTGATAAGAATGAATATTACACATTCTGTTAAAACAACACAAAACTAAATAATACAAAAGCCCTCTGCCACAAGAACAATAATGTTTTCCAAATAATTCTAGAGGAATACATTGCTAACTCTTACTGGTTTGAAATAATATGACCTAAGAGGTCGAGCTTTTGTTCTAAGGCAACAACAAAGGAAAAGTCATACACTTACGATTTTGTAATGCATGGTGTGCTCTGATACTGCTTTTGTATTTTATGTGGATACTCTGCTAATCCATCTGTCCCTCCGTAGCTATAGTCTGGCACCAGCAGAATTACCTCTGAAAAGAATGTAAATTCCATAATGCAGCCGCAAGCACAAAGCATATGACACAGGCAAAATGACAAGCGTTCATATTTTATGGTCTTAATTTCTGCATAAGTAGTTATTACCTTTCATTTTTCTGGCCTGAAGAATGGAAGTGATTGTCTATCATTGCAAACCTGCAAGATTTAGATATCTGAGGGGGAGTGAAATACTGAAATTGCATGTCTTTCTTTTAAATGCAGGTACATCAATTGACACACTTTTTTGTTTGGTTGGTTTGGTTTTTTGCTTTGTATCATAGATTGGCTGTGTTAATTTGGCTGTGGAAAACTTCCCTTTATATGAGAAGTGCTGATAGTATCATCATAAAATAATAAATGTAAAGATTAATCTTTTTTTTAATGTTGTACAAGGTAAAAGCAATGTTTTAAAATATTTACTCCTCATCCACAGAAAAATCAAGATCTCACTAATTAGAGTTCCTAGCAGGTTGGGAGGTATATAGGCAATTGTTATTTCCTATAAAAGACTGAGCCTTTCCATATGCTAATGGAAAAATTTTCAGTCACTCTCATGATTTTTTTAAAATGCTCTCATGTATGTACCTTTAACCTGACTAGAGTAGACTCCATAGCCTATTTATTGGGAAACTCTTTCAGAAGAATGGGAACTCCAGATCCCTGTACATGTTATACAACAGCGAGAGGAAGTTTCTGGACTATGCCTCCAGCACTTAGGTAAGTAACTTTATAACTATCTGAGACACAACGTGACTGACACAAACAGTTGTGCCCATAACTATGTCTCCCATGTTTGTAAAACAAGAAGGGAAAGGCAATCGAGGCACCTTAAAGTAAATGTTTAGGGACTTCATTTAGTTTCCTAAAGGCAAATATCTATCTTTTCCATACTCTGTATGTGTCCAATTTAAGGACATTCTAGAAAATGTAGGCAGTAAGTACATAATAAAACATTTTAATCAAGGTAATTAAGCAGACAATGTTATACTTTAAACTATATCCTTGCAAAGGTATAATGGAGATATGGATCGTATTTCTGTGCATTTGTAACCACCTAAATTTAAGCATTTACGAAAATTGCTGAAAAGTCTTAGAGACTTAGCTAAACCTGAAATCAAGTCATTCTATACTGTTGTCTGATGCTTTGTGGCTTATACAATTTTGTGGGATTTAGGAGGAGTAGATCTGGCCTAGGAGATTACTACCATGAGATTTTTTGACTAGACCTTTCTAACATTTTCTAGAAACATTTGTTGTGGAGACAATTTCACATTTGATAGATTTCTGTGTAATTTTTATTGATTTCGCTAAAAGGCCACAAACAGCAAGGCACATAATACACATACACAAAAAAAAACCCCACCTTTGAGAGCT